TGGGATGGGGTTGTGTGTTGGTATTATAAGGAAATTCAAAGTCTATCAGAAGGGACTGATCTGCCACCGTTGCTGGCCCAGCACCAGACATCACACTATTTGGCTTATCATCAACTGCGTGGTATGACCAGGTTGCTGCCTCTGCAGGGAGTCCAACAGAGTTTTGGCGGCAGCGTCTTTGCTCCACTCCACCCTCCATTCATTGTGTGCACGACACCATCAGATTATCCCCTCCACAGGGAAGCCAACAAAGTTTGGCCATGGTGTCTCCACTCTTTGTTTACTCTTGTTAGTATGGGGTAGGAGGGCAGATTGTGTTGCCAAGGGAATCATGGAGAAGTAGATTCCAACCATGATGGAATGAGTGACTGTCTCTCACTTCAAGAAAGCCTCTATAAGCCACCATCACCACGGGAAACCCCCATCACAATGTCCCAGCCCCAAAGGGATGTTGACTCACTGCCACAGGACCAGTAGAAATCCCTGAGATGTTGGGACTAGGAGCAGAGAACACAGGAGTCGAGGCCCAGGGAGCTGAGTCAGTTTGTCCAGGAGAAGGGGCAGGAGAATCTCAATGCTACCCGAAGCTGCCTGAGGGGAGAGTGGGGTGAGAACAGGGCCAGAAGCTTCCCAGAGGTGTCTGGGAAGAGAATGAGGGGTGTAAGGGTGGCTGACACCAGAGGAGGGTCCCAGAGCCATGGGGAATCCATCATCAAGGACCATTGGAGTTGGGCTCTGCCCAGTCCTGGCTCCACATGCAGCAGGAGGTTGAGCGGAGACCTCCAGGAGCCCCTTCCCTCCCCAGCTGCTCCGTGACTTTGTCTGGTGAACGGGTGATCCTCCAGGCCCCACTGGCTGCATTGGTGTCACCTGCGCTAATCTAGAGACTGGCTTAACTCCAGTTGACAGAGGGAGAAAAAGCTTCCAAGGAATTTATTGGAAGCAGGCGATGGCTGTTGCCAGTTAGGGTTCGTGTGGGCGCATAGATGCTATGGGGCATGATGCGAGAGCCTCTCTGTAGCCCCCAGGATAAAGCGTCTGTCTCCCGCCTCTCTGCTCTGCACCAGCCCCCATCTCAGGGGGCCTGTCTGGCATGTGAGTCTGTGTGCCGCTCGTCTCGCTGCCCTGCGATGCAGCAGCAGCAGAACGCTCTGCGCAGAGCCCGAAGTGCCATCCTGAGCCGTGAACACCATCGCAGGGGAGCTGCAACGTCTGGGAGGGCAGCGATGCCTGCAGTAGGAAGAAGAGCTGTGGACAATGGGATTAACGGGCGTAGGGCTGCACCTGCCCATCCTCAGCACCAAGGACTTCCCAGAGGGTTCTGTCCTTATCAGAGTAGCTCCTGAGCGCTTCCTGCTGCTGGCCTCGGTCCTGCTTGCTGTGGCAGGACAGGCCCCCTGTCCACAGAAGGGCTCTCGACTTGGGTATGTACCTTGCTCAACATCTGGTCTGGGGCTGCAGGAGGACGATGACTTCTCCTCCTCACTGGGCTCTGAGGCCACCTGCATGGGCAGAAAAAGAACACGCACCCATGGGCCATCAGCTGGCCCTGCTGAGGGTACCAGTGCCCCTGGTTTCACAGGGGCAAAGGGTTTGGGGCTGGGGGAGGCTGTTCATGGATGCGCATCCCAAGGGAGGGACGTGCAGCGGGAACAGCAATGGGACAAGGCTCTGTGGGGTTGTAGCAGCAGGGCTGGGCTGGGGCTGTGATGCACAACAAAAATGGAGGCAGCTGGGGGCGTGCATGGCACAAGGGGGCTCACACACCGGTGTGGAGGGGGCTGCTGCTGGGGCTGCCCCTTCCCTCCTCACTGGGCATCCAGGCCCCAGGGCTGTATGTAGCACAGGGGTGGAGAGGACCTTGTGCCTTTGTCCCTTGGATACAGAGAGGACCCGGGATGTCCCCATGGTGACATCACAGAGGACAAATGACTGGGGTGACAGCAGAGCACCATGGCGGGGGAGTCATTCTCTGCTCACTCCAGACCCAGCTCACATGGTGGCTCCCTTGGATGGTGGGGACAAGATACACACTGCTTTCTCACCTGGGGAGCAGGGCCTGCAGCCAGGGGAGGAGCTGCTGGTGCCGTGTCCTCAGGTAATGGTTGCTCCAGAGTGGGGCTGTCACTCACGGGGGGGCGCCTTCTGATTGAACGTCTCCCTGTCTGCAAACAGGCTGCAGAGGCTGGGTCTGACCCAGGTCTTGGAGGTGCTTTCCTCCACCGCCTTGTCTTGCAGAACCTCTTCACCAGCATCCTCCTCCTCATCAGTGTGGTCTGTGCGCTCATCCTGCTCTGCTCCCAGGTCTCTCTTGCCTCTTCTCGCCTGCCCCTTCTCCCTGGGGACAAGGGCATAGAGGTGCTCCAACACCTCCCACTTGCACCTCACGTCCTTGAGGAGCTCCATTTGTGTGATCTTGGGGTTCCACAAGTCATAGAAGGAATTTCTAGCAAGGAGCTAGAGGATAGAGGGAGGTTTATGAAGGGGGCTTCATTTCTCCCCAGAATGGCCTCCTGGGCCTTGCCAGCACAGGAACAACCAGGCTGTCACTGTGCAGAGCAGCACCTGGCACCAGCACCACCAGGGCTATGGCTGCCCCAGCCATCCCTTGTGCTCACCTGCTTGGGTCGCACCTTGAGCGATCCCAATGCTGTCAGGGAGAAACGTGTCCCCTCATCCTCCTCTTCCTCGTCCTTGCTCTCCTCCAGGCTCTGCTGCTTCCTCAGGAAAGCTCCTTCTCGCAGCTGGGCCGCTGTCCTGCCCGTGCTGGGTGTGTGTGTGTGTGTGTGGCGGGGCAGTCTTCCGGCTCTCTGCCCTCAGCTCCACAGCAATCTCTGCAAAGATGCTCTCCACAAAGCCAGCAGGCTCGAGTAGGGACAAGCATGTGGCCTCCAGTGAGGCCATTTTTCTGAGTGAGCCGGCAGCAGCCGTGTCTTCTGCAGAGCCACGTGGTGCCTCTGCAAAGGGCAGGCTGGGGAGTTCAGCCTCCCGGGAACCCTCCTTGGCTGCCAGTGTGCACTGCTGGGCATCCTGCAGGGCAGAAGAGGCTCTTTCTTCCTGGGACACCTTGGTGGGTGGCACTTCCACTTGGGGAAGCTGCAGCTCTCCCTGTTGGCACCCTGAGGATGTGCTTAGCACCAAGTCCTGGTTCGGCACCGTTGCCTCCAGGCACTGGTCCTTGAGCTGCTGGCCCACCTGCGGGAAGAAGGAGGCCCATGATGGAGGTATGAGCACGGGTACAAGTGGCCCCTGAAGCACAAGAAAACTCAGCCCTGTGTTCAAGGGAGGCTTGTGGCTGTGCACAGCCTGGCTGACCTCAGTCCAGAGCTGCTCACTGAGCCTCAGCACAGAGCTCACAGGGTTTGGGTGGCCCTGGGAGGACCCTGGCTGGCGTCTTTTGTCTGAGAAAAGACACCCAGGGCCGAGAATAAATGAGCTCTCCCTGGAAGAGCTCATGCCTGGCTATCTCACCCCGGCTCCCCTTCCAAACCATCCTTGTACTCTCCATGTCAGACTCATTCTTGCTGTCCGCCTCTCCCTTCAGCCCCCCTGCCCACCTAGCTCCCACTCTCCAGCAAGCCTGAGAGCCTGTCTGTGGGCTGGGAGCAGGCGTTCGCCTGCTGCTCCTTATCCATGTTCAGGATCCTTTTGTGAGGACCTCACACTGGCACCAAGGGGAGCCACTGCCTCCTGATCGAGCTGCTCTCCTCAGAGGGGGGAGCTCTGCACTCCCCAGGCCTTGCAGAGGCTCCACTTCTTCAGGCGCTCCATAGCGGAGATCCCCACAAGGCCATCCCTGTTGGCCTGCCCATTAATCCTCACCTCTACAATCCTAACTCTCTCTGTCTGTCCCTAGGCAGAGCTCCCTGCATCTTGCTGCTCTCTCCAGGGTTTCCGTTGTCCGTGTTACCTGCACCTTTCCCTGCCATCCCAGCCCATCACTTCCTCACCCTTTCTGGAGTCTTCTTCTCCTCTGAGTCACTCCCAATTCAAGGCTCTCCTCACCAGCTTGGCCAGCTGGTTGATGACCATCAGGTGGGCAGATGGGAAGAGTCTCCTTCCAAATGAAATGTGACATCATGCAGTCTTGCTGTGGGCCCAGCTCCAGGTCCTCCTCCAGCTCTTCATAAAAATGAAAAGAAAAGAAAAGAAAAGAAAAGAAAAGAAAAGAAAAGAAAAGAAAAGAAAAGAAAAGAAAAGAAAAGAAAAGAAAAGAAAAGAAAAGAAAAGAAAAGAAAAGAAAAGAAAAGAAAAGAAAAGAAAAGAAAAGAAAAGAAAAGAAAAGAAAAGAAAAAAAAGGGAAAAAAAAAGACCCTTTGCTCTTCGTCTTCTCCATTTTCCACTTGTCATAAGCTGGTATGAGGGTACATGAAAGCGATATGAATTATGGTATCTGAAATGCAGAATTAAAATAGGAATCCTTTGGACATGTTTCTCCTTTTTGTATCTGCATGCTCAGATCTGCAGGGCTGCTGCTGCTGGAGGCCAGTTCTGTGCATCGCTGTGCCAGAACAAAGGGCAGCCCAAGGTCACTCACTGAAGACTCCAAGGCCAACAAGGAAATCAGCAAGTTGTGAGGAAGCTCCAAAAGTGCCTTCGCCCACTCTGCCCATTGACAGCACCAGCAGCACCTTTGCTGGCCCCAGCAGGACACCAAGCACGGGAAAAGGGATAACCAAGGGGTGGCAGGCACCCAAAGGCCATGCCAGTGCTGTAGGGACCATGGGTGTGCGTGTGCAGGGGGAGTGCTCTAGGTGGACACACAGAGCAGTTGTGACTATCACACTGGACTAGCCTGAGGGACAGTGCAGGATGGCTCCCAGAAGCACACTGATGTGTTCCCTGTGCTTCCCTGGCACAGTTAACCGCAGGTGACATTTCTCTTCTCTTGGGAACTGTCTAGACCAGCCCAGCTGGGTCAGGCGGCCCCAACAGGAGATGGGGTTGCTGCCCCCAGGGGACTCTAAAGTACCTGGGGGCATGTGACAGAGGTAAAGAGGATGTCCAGGAAACATGGAGAGAAAATTCTGCTGAGAAAATTCCTGTTCCTCCTGGATGAGGACAGCGTTTCACGTGGCCACACTGAGGACATCAGTAGCTTGCTCACTGTCAGGATCACCACAGGTAAGAAGGTTCAGCAAGAGGAGACCCATCAGTCTTTAAGAACATAGGTTCATGAAAAGAGACCCCAATGTGATGTGTCTCCCATTACTGATTCCTCCTTTCATGTGTTGGTGCTCAGTTGCTGGTCCATAGGCCCTGGACCACCTTGAAAGGTCTCAGAGTTTCTGCCCTCTGCACCCATTTCAGGAGGTCGTGGCTTTCCTGGAGGTGCTGTGCTGTATTTAATCAGCCACGTGTGGCTGTAATGGGCATGCCAGGCTCGCGGCACAGCTCTAGAGACCTAGATTGTGCCATTGAAGTGAGATCTTGGGCTACACTTAGGTGCCTGCTGTGCAGGGATGTGCGTGTGTCACTTTGCTTTGCTCTGATTTGAGCTCAGATGCCCTAAATGCACATGTTTGGTTCCATTTCAGGTGGTCTTGCCCCTGTTTCCATCAGCTGGTGCTTGGGAAAGATGTCCGTCTCTTGGGATGGTTACAAGAGAACTTGCAGACCCTTGCATGTGCCTTGGAGCACCCCTGGCACCTCAGGCATAACAAGGTGTTATTACCCGAGAAGCTGACTCCTATCCTAGCGATTAGAGACACCACGGCCATTTCCTACTTGGGATGTGCTGCACAGGTCTCTGTTTCTCTTCTTGAGTTCAGGAGAATGCTTTCTTCTCACACTTATGGCCTATGGCCACTTTGTGGCCATCTGCAGAACCCTGTACTACAGGATCCTCCTGGGCAGCAGAGCTTATGTTGAAATGGCAGCAGCTGCCTGGGCCTGTGGGTTTCTTGATACCCTGAAACTTTCTAGACATACTGTCAACACTTTCATGCTTTCATTCTGTAGAGATAGCTCTGCGGACAGTAGTTCTGTGAAATCCCTCAGATCCTCAAGCACTCCTGTTCACACTCCTACCTCAGCCAAGTTGGGCTTCTTATGATTAGTGTCAGTTTAATGGTTGCGTGTTTCACTTTCAGAGTGTTATCCTACATGCAGATCTTTGCTGTTGTGCAGAAAATCTCCTCTGCGTAGGGCTGGCCCAAAGGCTTTTCCATGTGCCGCCTACACCTGGCTGTGCTCTGCCTATTTTTTTAGCACTGGCCTGTTTTCCTGCATGAAGCTCCCCTGTCTCCTCCCCTGCTCTGGATCTGGTAGTGGCTTTCCTGTACCCAGTGGTGCCACCAACACTCAATCCTCTCATCTATTGTACAAGGAGCAAGGTGCTCAAGGAGGTAGAGGAAAATAATCTCACAGATATTTTTCAGCCTTGGTAAAATCGTCATTGCTCTCTACAAATGACTCCTGCAGCATTCCATACCAACACTGAGCATTGTTTCTTCACTTTATTTTTTTATTATTTTTCACTTTATTTTTAATAACAGTAGTAGTATTTTATATCCTGTTGCTACACAAATTGTTGCATGTCTTCCACCTTAACTGAGACTTCTCTCTTGTATCTGGTAGCCACATTCCAGAAACCTCCTGGCCTGCTTACACCCAGTTGTTTGACCTGACACTGGATGGCAGGGGGAATAAAGAACCTTCCAATCTGTTCTGCCAGTAAGAACCAGGGCCTGTGGTCTACAGACTTTGTCATGTTGCTTAAAGAAGATGTCATCCACCCCATCAGCCCGACTGCATGGTCTGTAGCTCCCATCATGATGCCACCCTTCATCTGCTGCTTCACCCACAAACACCTACCCAAACCCTTGTCCATTCCATGGAAGCACTTCATCCAATCTGCCCCTCCATACATAAGACATGAGTCCTCCTCCTCTTCCCTGACAGTCTCCCCTGAAGAGCTTTTACCCCAGCAACACAGGCCTCCAGTTGTGTGCATGGTCCTAATGCATTTCAGTTATTCCAGTGATGTAGAGGTACTGTGACAGCTTGTGCTCCTGTCTGCATGCCAGGCTACAGACATTTCCATATATTTGGGATGCAAAACATCAGATGTGGTACAGATACAGATTGGTCATGGTGGAACCTGTTACCAAGAGCCAAAGATCCTGTGTGCAATGTTTCCACTTGAGAGCAGATCTATGCTGACATGGAGAGCAGGTGGCAATGTAAATGGTGAGAGGGTCCCATTAAGAGAGCAAAGCCTGCAGTGCCCAAGGCCAGGGAGAAATAGAGCTGGGCTGTGAGGGAATGGCAGGAGAGGGGTTGATTTGTAGCACCTTGGGGCCTGTGATAGAGGTGAGCCCATCTCCAGACAGGACAAGGCACTACTGAAGATGTTCTTGGGCTTGAGCCAGCTGTGATCCAGTCATCCTGGGGTCATCATTAGCCCCGTCACATTAGCCAGAGTGAAAAGAGGTTATATAAGAGCAAAGCGAGAAGCTTTTAAGAGTGCAGAGACCAGAGCAGACACTTGGCGTGATGTGCCTCTCCTATTTAAGAAGCACGCTCGGCTGTAGGAGGAATGGATTGGCCTAAAGGCAGTGGTGGGATCCGGTTGTCTGGGCACTGGTAGGGAACCCAAGATGCCCTGACGCACTTGGCCAGCTCCAGCTCCAAAGGGACATGGCTTCCCATAGATCCCAGGCTGTGTCTCCTAGAGGAGACATTTGGTTATGCTGGACAACATAGGCACCTGTCTTGACCTGGCCAGCCTATTTCTGTGTCACTAAATGATATGTCTGCAGTGAATCATATTAACTTTTTGCACTGTAATGACCTGCCTGGGTCTCTGCTTTATACTGCATGGTGCTCACCTAGGAGTAGAAGGCATCTGGGGTCATTTGAGATGGCCAAGGACATCTCCACCTGGTCTTGCCCTGAAGCTCCATGAGAATGTGGTCTCAGATTTGCTCCAGCAGAGCAAACAGACATAGGCACATTTTTAATAACTCCTTTGCCTCTTCAATCAGGTGTTTGGTGTGTCGTCATGTGACTCCCATGCTCCACCACCAGTAATTACAAGACGAGCTTAGAGAAGCAGCTCCCACACACATGTCAGCGCTGTGCACACCTAAGTGTGGGGAAGAAGAATCCCATCTTCTGTGTGTTTGTGGAGTTCAAGGGTGGAATCTGAATTCCATCCCAGATCAGTGACTTCTGAACCAGTATGTGATGCCCAGATTGACTCATCTGAATCCATGAGCCCCCTTCTTGCCCCTGTCTCAGTGTCCTGCCTATTAGGGGCTTCCTAACTAGAGCCTTCCAGAGTGGGACATTTCTAACTTGCATAGATAGTCATCTTTTGACAAAATACACTCCCCATGGTGCTGTGGGCAGAAGCTCTGGGTTAGAAGAGAAATCCCCAGCAGGGTAGCTTGAGCCTCCCATCAAGAGGGCTCTGCCTTGGGGACATATCAGAGGTGACTTCTCACCAAGAACACCAAGGCAGGGAACACCTGATAGAGAAGGAGTTGTCATGGCTCTTGTCCTCTCACTTTTATTCTCTTTGAGTGTGGTGAAACGGGCATGGATCTGTCAGGTTTAGACAGGGGATGGAGACTCATAAATGGTGACACTGAGAGAAGAGCAGTAGTGGGAGGACCTTAAGAAATGCCTTCACCCACAGACAGAGCCAGCATCCCCTTTCCAGCCTCAGCAAGGCTTGTCTCACCCGCAAACACGGAGCTGCCCTGGGCAGGATCCTGCCTCCAAAAGGTGTCTGCAGGGCAAAGCTTGGGCCCAGTGGGTGGGATGGGGTCTGCGAGCACAGACAGGGCAGACACGTAGGGATGGAGGAGCAGCTCCGATGGCTCCCTGGGCAGCAGAGTCATGGCCAGAGGGTGAGAGGAAACTGACACCTCCAGCACCTCCTCCCCTCTCCCCCACCGGCACAACCCTCTGCTCTGCCAGCCGCAGTATCCAAACCATATTTCCTTGGAGACGGACATGAAGGAGAGTCCTGAGAGCTCCCTTCCCCTAGGCCTGCCTGGCCCTGCCTCTCTTGGCACAAATCAGGGTGTTGCTCTGTGTTTGCCCATGTCCATCCCTTGGACTTTCTGGGCAGGGGGTTTCTGCTGCACTCCAGACACCGAGCCTGTGGGTCCTGCCATGCAGATGTGTCTTTGAGTGTGAGGTGCCCAAAGCCCCTTTGCCCTGTGGTGCTTGGAGCCAGGTACTGTGAGGGTTTGGGAATGAACCAACTCTCTCTTCAGGACAGTCCATCCTTAAAACATTAGACTGTTCTCTGTATTTTTGTCGGTTGGGCTGCAAACTGCCCTTCAGAGGGGCACAGCTCCCCCACTACAGCTGAGTCTTGTGGAGGGGCTCCATGGAGAAGCTCTCTCGGTACTGAGGCCACAGCAGTGCTGCTGGGCAGGTGCATGGGAACAGCTGGAATAAGCCCAATATGCTTCCGGTTTGAAGAGGAGGGCTGAGATCTCTCTCAGGGACTCTCAGATAGGGTGCTGGGTTGGCCAATCGGTGCCTTGAACCTGGATTCTTCTGCACTACACGAAGTGATTTCTTTCTATGGTAAAATGAGTGAAATTGTCCTCTACATCAGTGGTGCGAACACAGGGCAGCTGGGAAGAGGCCAGCTCTTCTCATGCTGCATTAATGCTATAGTGAGCCCTTTTGCCCCTCTATAACTACAGCATTTACTCAGAGTGCAGTAGCAGTGCTGAGTATTTCTGTCTCTACATAGCAAACTCACCCAGCACCAACTAGACCTCAAGACACAGATCTCAAAGACTTGGGGCTTGACTGAAATGGGAATTCATAAAGTTTATGAGGTAGAAGAGAGCTTATGAGAAAGATTTACACATGGAAATCTGTTCTAATTTCTCAACAGCTCTTCTTCCTCAGACAGTCCTGCAGTGGCCTGAAGGAGCTAATGTCCAACAGCAGCTCTCCCAGTGACTTCCTGCTCCTGCCATTCGCAGACACGCAGGAGCTGCAGCTTTTGCACTTCTTGCTCTTCCTGGGCACCTACCCTGCTGCCCTCCTGGCCAATGGACTCATCATCACAGCTGTAGCCTGTGACCACCGCCTCCACACCCCCATGTACTTCTTCCTCCTCAACCTCTCCCTCCTTGACCTTGGATCCATTTCCACCACTGTCCCCAAATCAATGGCCAATTCCCTCTGGAACAGCGGGGGCATTTCCTACTTGGGATGTGCTGCACAGGTCTTTTAAATCTTTTTCTTACTTTCAGCAGAGTTTAATCTCCTCACAGTGATGTCCTATGACTGCTATGTAGCCATCTGCAGACCCCTGCACTACGGGACCCTCCTGGACAGCAGAGCTTGTTTGAAAGTGGCAGCAGCTGCCTGGGGTAGTGATTTTCTCAATGCTGTCCTGCACACTGGGAACACATTTTCCATTCCACTCTGCCAAGGCAATGTGGTGGAGTAGTTCTTCTGTGACATCCCCCAGATCCTCAGGCTCTCCTGCTCAGACTCCTACCTCAGGGAAACTGGGGTTAGTATGGTTAGTCTTTGTTTAGCCTTCAGGTGTTTCATTTTCATTGTGGTGTCCTACATGCAGATCTTCACTGAGGCTGAGGCTCCCCTCTGAGCAGGGCCGGCACAAAGCCTTTTCCATGTGCCTCCCACACCTGGCTGTGGTCTCCCTGTTTGTCAGCACTTCATTTTTGGCCTATCTGAAGCCCCCATCCCCCTCCTCATCAGTTCTGAATCTGGTAGTGGCCGTTCTGTGCTCACTAGTGCCTCCCTCCCTCCCTCCTTTCCTTCCTTCCTTCCTTCCTTCCTTCCTTCCTTCCTTCCTTCCTTCCTTCCTTCCTTCCTTCCTTCCTTCCTTCCTTCCTTTGCCTTCCTTCCGTCCTTCCTTCCTTCCTTCCTTCCTTCCTTCCTTCCTTCCTTCCTTCCTTCCTTCCTTCCTTCCTTTCTTCCTTCCTTCCTCTCCTTTTCCCTTTCTCTGTTTCCCCCCTCTCTCTTTCTCTCTTTTTCTTTCTTTCTCTCTTTCTCTCTCTCTCTCTCTCTCTTTCTCTCTTTCTGTCTGTCTTTCCTGCTTAAAGATAAAATGTTCCAGTTTGCACCACATAGCATCTGGAATCTCTCGTTTGAATCTGACTGAGAGATTGTCCTGAAGAAGGCAGATGTCTTCCTCCTTCATCAGCAGCACTGGGGAACCTCTGAGCCCCAAGTCTGAGCTCCCTCTTAGGACATCCCTTCCTCAGTCATTTTTGAGTCACCCTTTCCCTTCAGACGGTCTCAGTTTAAGGCTCTCCTCAGCAGTGCGGCCACACAGTTGACCACCAGGTCAGCAGGTGGGAACAACTTGCGGCCTGGGTCCCTCACTATGGGCTTCAGGACCTCCTGCAGCTGCTTTAACCCTGTGCCAGTCGCAGAAGCAGGCACTCCTCTTTCCTGCGATTCTCTCCCTACTCACAGGGCTCCTTCTTAGCCAGAAAACCCTCTCACCACAAAACTGTAAGGACTGCCATGGGAGAAGGGCAGGATTGGAGATGATGAACCACATGCTGCTGACTTTTACACTCCTCTCAGCTCCAATTTTATCCTCCTTGGAACAAAAACATCTCTGTTCTAAATATTTTCTTTCATTGGTCCCACTTTTACTCCCTGTGTACCCCAGTTTAATATTTCTGCATTGTCAAGGGGCTGGGAGAGGAAAAGGCAGGTAAAGTGAGATGACACTGAGATGATGGGGTAACCTCTTTTGCACTGTACTAAGATCTTTGGAACTGAAGTTATAGCTGAGATCCAAACATAATACACAGAGCTGGTGTAGCCACTGGTGCTTTTTATTCCCTCTGCCTCATTCTCTTACCTATAGAGTCCAATGATTTCTTATACCCTCTAGTTCTTCATGCCCTCTTCAGTTACATCCATCCTGAGCCAGAGCCAAGGCATCTGCCTGCACACTCTAATTCTGCTTTGCAAGTGGAGCTGTGGGCCAGGATGGGAAGAACCAGGGCCACCACGTCCTGCACTGGGGGGCAGGAAGATCCAGCCCAGAGAAAGAAAACCGTGTTTTGAGCTTTCCTTAACAGTTCTTGGACATTGTTCCCAAAGTTTTCAGCTGAATTTCCTGAGATCAATTATGAAAATTCCTTGTGTCAACATGCGCTGTCAGCCTGTGTCCCTGTTTGAAGAAGGGGCTTACAATCAATTAATATTAATAGTTATTAATTTTTAATTACTATTTATAATAGTCCCTTATAGCCATGACACAGTTCATGCTGCGTTCTGTCACCACTATAATGCAAAGAGAGCACAAATCTCCCGAGCCACCTGTATTTAATAGCTAAATGTAGATGTGTGTGATATAATAAATCATGCATAAATACAGTGGTTATCATGAACAGCATGATGACTGGTGAAAAAGGCCAAGCTATGCATGGCCAATGGCTTCCTTCAAGGGCCAGTTTCACAGCCTTCTTTCTGAGAGTGTAGATGAAGAGGGTTTACAAATGGGACAGAGCCCATGAGGTAGAGGGGAGACCCTTCAGGGAGGAAGGGGGGAGAGGCAGGGGAGTATCAGAGCAATGGTGCAGTGATTGTGAGGTCACTTCTAGGGTGCTGCCTGATTGGCCAGCAGCAGGCAGGCAGGCGGGTGGGCACCGTGAGGTCATCAAGGGCAGGAGAAAGGCCCAGCAGAGAGGAGAGCTCCTGGAAAGGGGAGAGGCAGAGGCAGGTCAAGGTGGCCTGGCTGGGAGATGGTTGGCGAGGTCACCTCTGTTGCAGCAATCGGATTGGGCAGCAGGCAGGCAGGCACTGTGAGGTCATGAGCTCAGGGGGAGGGGAGAGGTGGGTACTGCGACATGTTGGGGATGCTGATTGTGAGGTGAGTTCCTTCCATCAGCCAGATGGGCCGTGGGAGCATTGTGAGGTGATAAAGAGCATCAGGAAAGTCCCCCTGTCTCCAACTGAAAGGATGAGTCAGGGGGATGGGAAAGGCAGGTAAAGAGAGATGACACTGAGATGATGGGTCAGTCAAGATCATTGGAACTGAAGATCTTTGGAACTCCATAGCTGAGATCCAAGGATAATACATAGAGCTGATATAGCTCTGTGTCATCAGGAATGCATCATCCATGCTCTGGATGGATTAAATAGGACTATGGGCCAGGTGGATTGTCAGAGTTCACTGAAACAACCTGTGAGAGAGACTCCCATCATCAGCTGGACTGCACCCAATAACCTTCTTCAAGAGGTCTGAATTACCATGTGGGCATTACTCTGCGTGAAAGTTCCCAATAAAGTCCAAGTTTTAAAATGACACATAGTCCATGAATATCTGTGAGCTCTGCTTGGAGCTTCTGAGCAGGAATATTGTTTCCTCCAGACAGGATCAGACATTTACCTACAGGAGTGGAGGTCTGGTCTTGGGCCTGGCAAACACCTGGGGATCCCAAATGTCTCTATTTTGTCACTCTTTGACCATGTGTGCCCCCTGTCCATCTGTACGAGCGTGAACAGAGCCTGGGAAAGGGAAGAGCCCTGTCATGGGACGTATATTCCCGCAGGCTCTGGGCCTGCAATGAGAAGGCTGCTCTGGGGCAGATGGTGCCAGCACAAAGATGCCTGCTGGGAAGCCCTGTGGCCACAGCCTCCGGCCTGCCCTGGTGAGTGTGGTCTCCTCCTGAGCAGACCATCCTCTGACAGGGGACTCATGCTGGCTACTTCCCTGCTGCTGGGCTCTCACTCGTGCTGCGGTGATGGAGAAGAGCAGAGTGCCTGTCCTGTGCCCCACCCCGCCCCGCCAGCTCTGCTTCCTGCAGGTGTTGTGTCTCCTGCTGCCCTCCTTCCTCTAGTACCTGGTGAGGTTATATTTCTCCTTGGGGAGATGTGGCATTCTTCATCCCTGGGATAATTTGGAAGCTTTGGGAAAAGTTGAGGAAAAAAATGGCATAAACTCCAAGGCCTAGCATGCATGAGAGCAGTCCTGCCTTCAGGTACTTCTTGGGGTTGTGTGGCAGCACAGGCAAATGGAGGCAGTCCAGGAGGGATCCTGGCAGTGATTTAGCAAACATTCAGGGCAGTCTACCAGAGGAGTGGGGCCAGGGAGCCTGAGAGGCAGCGGCTGAACCAGAGAGTGCAGATACGTTGTCTGCAGGTTGGGGGAAAATACAAGGCAGCTCTGCCCTGGGATGAGGAGCAAAGCCAAGAGTTTGTGAGGATCTGTGAGGAACAGGGGCAAACAGAGATGTTCATTTCTATGCAAATAAGCTCCATATTTGCAATAGGAGCTTCTCAGGTGCACTCCCTCCATGACTGGAGAGGAAAATGGGCAGCATCACATGCTGAATGACTCCCTGGTTGCTCGTTATACTAACTTGCAGGGTTTCTGGCATGAAAGAGCTATTGCAACCTCTTGCCCATCCTGGGGGGGCCTGTGAGAGACCAGAGCCCCTCAGAGCTGCAGAGAGATGTTCGGCAGAGGGGACAAGGGCATCTGCAGTGGAATCAGATCTCCATAACCACGTGATGGCATTTCACTCCAAATCACTGTCCTTAAAAAAGACCACACACAAAGTCTCTTCAATAAACGCCAACAAAAAAGCTAAACATAACCAGGGGGGATTATAAAGACAAAGAATAGTAGAGACTGAAAAGGGTTTACTAAACACCTCCTTGCACACATCCTTTTCTAGATTTATTTCTTGTTTCATTTTGATTGACATTTTTATCATATTCAGGCCCACACCATGAAAAAAAAATATTTTAATGTCTTGTACAGAGTTAAGTGGCCCAAAGCACCTGCGACAGCAACTGCTCACTCTTTGTTCAGAGCCAATCCTGCTAGATGTTGAGCTCTCTTGCCTACTGCCTCTTGTCCTGCTCTGTTACCACCCACCCCAGACCCCGATATGCTGCGGTTACAAGGTCAAAAAGTCATCTCCAGGCTGGCCATGGCTGAACAGAAGTTCCTGCAAGTTTCATGGCTGAGGGAACTGACAGGAAAAGGAGCTGTTGGTTGTAGCAGCAGAGGAGTGTTGTGGTCGCTGCCAAGGAGCTGCTCGATGTTTAGGTGGGCTCAGTGGTGAGTGCTTCCACCCGTGGTGGCAGTAACTGCCTGTGTTGTCCGGCTGTGGGGCGAGAGTGCCATGATGCCCACTGCTCTCCCTGGCAGCCAGGTTTTGCATGCATGGCCATGGCCATGTGAGTGCAACCGCACTCCAAATGCTGCATAGTCTCCATCAGTGTATGCCTGGCCTCACCAAAGCCGCTTAGCCTGTTTTAGTCAACGCCTCAGCTCGCAAAGGCCGCCTCACCTCCGTCAGTGCATGCCTTGCAAAGGCCATGTCACATTGTCAAGGCTGCTTCGCCTCCATCAGTCCATGCCTTGCAAAGGCCTCCTCGCCTAACAATGCACCCTTGCCTCTGTCAGTCCGTGGCTCACAATGTCCGCCTTGCATCCATCAGTCGACACCTCGCCTTGCAGAGGCTGCCTCACCTCACAATGGCTACCTTGCCTTCATCAGTACACATCTGGCAAAGGCTGCCTCCCTTCGCAGAGGCCGCCTTGCCTCCTTCAGTCCACGCCTCGTCTTGCAAAGGCCAGCTTGCCTCACAAAGGCTGCATCGCCTGTGTCAGTCCACGCCTCATGAGGCCTCATCGATTCACAAAGGCTGTCTCACCTCCACCAGTCCACGTCTCGCAAAGGCCGCCTCACAGCCATCAGTTCACAGTCTCACGTCACGAAGGCCGGCTCTCGTCTGTCAGTCCACACCTCACAATGGCCGCCTCGTCTCGCAAAGGCCACTTTGTCTCCATCAGTCCGCACCTCACAAAGACCACGTCGCCTCGCAAAGGTGGCCTTGCCTTGCAAAGGCCACTTCGCTTCCATAAGTCCATGCCTTGCAAAGGCTGACTGTATTGGAGATGGAAATTTCTATGATCTGTAGAGTCATAAATAAGCATTGTGTAAAACAAAATCCAGACCTTGGAGGGAAAAACACTGAATCTTGATAATGCTCAGCAGAGGCCACTAACAAAGGAAGGTTGTAATACCTGGATCCCTGAAGAAGAATGAAAAGCAACATGTTCTCTAAACCAACAAAGAAGTAGTTAGTTCAGAAGAAGCAAGAACTGCTGCTCAGGCTGGTTTGCAGCCAGCCTGACTATAAACTGCTGTCTAAGGAAGTTTGAAGGCCAAAGTCACTGTGAGAATGAGAAGGATGAGGGAAGCCAGACCACCAAATTGAGGGATGAGGCCCCCTTCTGGAATTTGTGATGGCACAGTCCTAGAAGGATGATATAATAGAAAGGCGGGGATTTACTCACCCCTGGGTGGCCTCCTGGCACGTACCGGCCCTACATGACCGGATGCCCCAGGGGATAAAATATGAAGGGCAGATTTGGGGGATGGAGACTCCCAATATTGAGGCCAATGTTGTCTCCCATGGGGACGCCCGCTATGATTGAGAGCCTGCCAGCCCCTCCAGCCTGCTACCTTGGAGACATGTGTGGTCTCGTAATTCTGCTGGCAAGTATTATTCAGTAAGTAATCTTTTCGTATTCACATGTACTAACCAATTTGTGTTCGTTTGTACTTGTATCTATGTTGTGTTAATTAAAGGCATCATTGTTATTAAGTCTATTTCTTGTCCTTGGATTGCTGAATCCTGAGCCCATCTGGCACACCGACTCGCCTAACGAAGGAGTCTCGCCTCCATCAGGCCACGCCTCCCCTCACAAAGGTCCTCTCGCCTCCATCAGTCCATGCCTTGCAAAGGCCGCATTGTCTCGCAAAGGCCGCATCTCCCCCATAAGTTCGTGGCTCTCAAAGGCTGCCTCACCCCACAAAGGCTGCCTCTCCTGCATCAGTCTACGTCTAGAGTGGAAAAGGCTACCTCTCCTCAGTCGGTCCACACCTCACAAAGGCCGCCCCTCCTCACAAGGACCGCCTCGCCTCGCAATGCCAGCCTCGCCTCCATCAGTCCGCGCCTCACAAAGGCCACCTCACATCCATCAGTCGACGCCTCGCCTTGCAAAGGCTGCCTTGCCTCACAAAGGCTACCTCGCCTTTGTCAGTACACGTCTGGCAAAGGCTGCCTTGCTTCTCATAGGCTGCCCTGACTCCTTCGGTCCACACCTCGCCTTGCACAGGCCGGCTTGCCTCACAAAGGCTGCATCGCCTGTATCAGTCCACGCCTCGCAAAGGCCGCGTCGATTCTCAAAGGACACCTTGCCGCTGTCAGACGCCACCTCGCCTCGCATAGGCCACCTGGCCTCCATTAGTCCACACCTCACAATGGCTGCCTCGCCTTGCAAAGGCCGCTTTGTCTCCATCAGTCCGCACCTCACAAAGACCATGTCGCCTCGCAAAGGCGGCCTTGCCTTGTAAAGGCCACTTCACTTCCATAATTCCGTTGCTTCCTAGGCCATAGAGAAATGGAACACCTGAAGTACACTTGCACAGGCTCAAACCTCTCTGATCCTCACCGGACAGTGGAGGCTTGCATAGAAGAGACCTTGCGTCTTTTCTGCCACTGTCTGGAAAGCGGGAAGAATGTGGCCCCTGTGTTGAAGGACATTGGCCATGCTTCTTATTCAGGGAATAGGTGTGAAAATGAGATATTACAGAGACTTTCTACAAAGGCTGAATGGGACAGAGCAACTCTTCTTAGGGTAATTATTCCATTTCTCCATTTCTGCTTCTAGGTCTTTTGTAATCCCAGCAGGAGTATGAGTGAATGCATTACATTAATGAATTGAGAGAGCGTATTAGTGAAAGTGAGTGAAAGAAGTGAGTGAAAGGAGGAGTGAATGAATTTATAGTAGCATTTCATGACCTTCCCAGGCACATGGACAGTCCTGGCCTGAAGTAATGTAGTCTC